GCGAACAGGTAGTTACAATCTCCTCCCATAACATGTCTTAGAAGGTACATGTGGTTGGAGAGGCGATGAGATAGGGCTGAGTTTTCTTCATAAAGATCAGACGGATGGGTGGGTGGATGCTTCCCATAACAGGGGTTTTCCTTTGATGTCTTCTTGCTATCAATTTTTTAATTTTCTGTGACTCACAGACTTCCTTTATAATTGTTTTCCTTTGGAAATGAGGACTGCAGAGGACTAAGAAACAGATGCTATAACATGGGTTTATGATGGATTTGCTTCTGTGCATTGCTGAGGGAATGAAGCAGAAAAAAGCAAAATACCCTAAAGAAGAGAACTCAGGCATTAAATCACAACACTCAGGTTAGCACCTGCAGAGGGACAACTCTTCAGACTGTCTTGTTGCCAGTGCTGGGTTTGTCAAGAATGGCAATCTAGAGATGAGTCAAAGATTTCATTAGCTAAAAGACCCACTCAGCAGAAAGTGGGATGAAGCAGCCACAATCAGCTAACAGAGAGAAAGAGAACCTGGCTATGGCACACGAGCTGTAATTTTTAACACCAGTGCTGAATTTGGTCTGCCAAGGGGCTGATATGAGAACATCAGCCACACAGTATGTGTTTAGGTCTCTGTTTTTTTACATCCATGGGACAAACTGACATTTCTATTAAGTGACTTCCAGTGATTATATAAATGTGAAAGTAAAATGAGAAAGCCTTTTTGTTTACAGATAATTTCTTCAGCCTGCTCAGAGAAGCAAGGCTAAACTCAATATAGAACTGATGGGATAATTTCTAGAATGGCCATGTTAATAGATCTCAGTGTTTGAGCCAAGAATCAATAGGGAATGGATGTACTAAGATATTGGAAAGCCAGTAAAGCCTGAAAGAGAATAGGATGAAGACTGACCAGCTCATTAAGGTGGACTCATATTCCTGAGCTCAAAAATGCTCTACATAAATAAATAAAAGCAAGAGCCGCAAAGGTGTGAACATGCAGAGATTGTTCAAGCAATTGTTAAGTTCAGGAACTGCATGCAAATCCAAAGAGAATCTGTAGAAAAATGATGGGAGAATGACAGATCATGTTATTGACAATCAGTAAAGGATACATTTACACAAAACATTTCCACTTTTTTTGTACAGAAAACAAACAAACACAGCTAACAGCCTCATTTTTCACACAGCAAGACGTTGGGGAGAATGTTTTTTTAAAAAAACCAAGGGGAGTAGTAAATACAAGTGCACAAATGGGGTGCAGGTCACCTCTTAAGTACAAGCAAAGCCATCTTATCACTTTCCAGAAAGGTTAAATGCCT